ACTGTGCAATAAGCACCAGCCTGTCGAAAGATTTATATACGCGGTGGCAGTATTCATAGGGGTAAGCCATCATCACATAGCCTTGACATTCATGCTTTCTAAGCTTACTATCATCATGACCAAAATTTTCAACTTTTTCTTCTTCATTGCGGCCTTTCGAGTGACCGATTCCGACCTCATGGACGTCTTTGAACAAGCATGTATTTAATGAAACGAAAATTGAAAGATCGATAGCAGCACAAATATAAGATTGCACGTAAATCATTTCTGCTTCCAGCGCTTGGGAAACGGCTCATACAGTGTTGCATACATGCTTTAGCTTAACATGAAAGACATCCATCAATCATTGTGGCGCTGTAGCCTGCAAACTCAGTCGTCAATTCAGTGAAGTTGGGTGCTCGCCTAACCGACAAACAGGTTACTTTATCTTTTTCTTGTTCGCTTAAGCTATGCTTTTCTATGCTTTTTGTTAATACTTTTCCGATGAAAATTGCACTTTGCATTCTAATTGGGTAAGTCCCACAATGGTATCTATAAGCAACAAGAGCACAAAGAGATAGAGAGAGCGAATATTTGTCTGCGGCAACACCGTTTGATAGCATTCCGTGACTTGGTTCCGAAGTAATTTCCATCAGTTATACTAGTGAATATGCCTATCTCTGATCTTATTCTCGAAGAGAGATAACTTCACCAAGTATATGAACTGCATCTTGCTGGCCTCCAAACTGCCAGCTGTAGGGTGTACCGTTGAAAAGATAGACAAAACATTTTCACTGACAAACTGAGCGAACAGTCTTAAGGTATGAATAGTGTGGGCATACAATGTTAGATTCTGAGGATGTAAACTTTGTTATAACGATAGTCTCCTAGTGCCGGACAAATTTAGTTTCATCGGCTAAGCCTTTCTTGTCAAAATACTCAGATTTCAGAATGATGACCATAGCTTCTGGAAGCACGAGGAAAGTGCCTATAATTTATGTTCCAAATGGGTGAATTCAGGAAACCACTGATCAATGTAAATTTACTGTTACCTTGTTATTCCAAGGGATTTACATCTTGCATATCAACTCACGATGGAACAAGAAAGCTTGGATTAGATCGTCCTGGTTGCTAATGGAGTCTTTTCGTTGAGCACAAAAGCTTCGCAAAGACAGTCATGTTCTTCTTATTCTTGACAATGGACTTTTCAAAAATTTCACATGTCACGTTGTTTTATGATTGAAACAACCTTGGTATCACAACTGTATTCAACTTTTGAATAAACCTTTTCTAAAAGTGTCCTGATGTTATTTGTTGCACAACATAACCGAAGGCCAAAAAATTGGTAAACCCAAAATAGGGTGCAAACCGAGAAGTCAAATTTGAACTTGTTGAAAAACGCCACCTGTTGATATTTAGCCAAATAGAAGGGATGGTGGCATCAGCGAGACCTCACCATACATAGTAGATTGATTAAACAGTGAATGTTATGGTAGGTAGTTTGGCGATATATAAATTCATGTTTGGATGGTTTAACATATAGCACTGGTTAAAACTATTGAAATTAACTCACCTGCTCTATTGCGGTCAGTAAGTTGGACGCATCATGAATGAATTTCTTCAGTGCAGGTCGACTCGTGTAATACCCGGTCCAGTATGAATTCGGTCCACTTGCATACGGGAAGAAATCACCACGACGTCGTTCGATGGTAGTATTCCTCGCCATGGCTCGATTGACAGCTTTTGTGTAGCATTGAGGAGTTGAGTAGAGTAGGTTTACATCACTCCCGTTCTTTTGCACCTGGTTTACATATCGAATCAATTTATCAATATTCTTGAAATTCACGTGTGCATTCTCGTACGTGAAATCGCAACCCATCAAAACCATGATGTGATTGGTCGCAAACGCTCTGCGAACCGTATTCACATGAGCCAGAAATTCCCTGACACGTTTTGGGATATTATATTCGGGCATGTCGGGGTCATCTATCATTGGTTCGTCGTTACATTTGTCATCGAAACAGAAAGTGGCTGGGTGACAATAGCTGTCATAAAACATGCTGGTGAACAAACCGCGGCTTTGGGGGTCTGGTTCCACGCTGGTTTCCCACAGAACTTCCAAAGATTTTGATTCACGTCGGAAATTTTTCTCCCGATAGTCCATTCGCTGGAAGAATACAGCGTCCAGTCCAGCGTCACGAAACAATTCCGTGTGGTCTCGTGAATGTCCGAATGGATCTATTTGCCAGGCGACTCTCGGAATCCCACAATCACCAAACAAACGACGCAAAGCATCGTGGCCGCGTGTGAGTTGATCAATGGCGTCCGAGTAGTGTACGGTTGCTTCATCAGCCATGGTCCATCCGGCTAGAGCGAATTGTAACCGACCTGTTCGCACGAGTTCACGAACTAGATCTTTAACTTCCTGTGTCTGGGAATTCCACCATCGCATGAAGTAAGCCATTTCCACATATGTGAACCGTCGTTCCGGGTTGGCTGCTAACGCTTGAACGACACTGTCAAGAATATACTGAACCCCTGCTCGTTGTATGTAGTTTCGTAGTCCGTAAAAATATTGATCGAATGTTTTCAACCAGCCCACATCATCGTGTGTGTGAGGAACCAGATGCACGTTGAGCATGTCATCCCGACCTAGATCGCACGAATCGTAATCACAACCAGTTGGTGGCTTAGCCGTCAAACAAGAACCAAATTATGTAACCCAGTGCAGTAGGGAAAAGCACTTTCAACCGGCTGATAATTCATAAGGAATTGATACAATAAAAGAATCAACGATAGATCTCTTAGTTTTTCTTCAATTCATCTTTATACAGGTTGCCATATGATTGATTGATTGGTTGATTTTCTCATACCTGTCTTGGTTCTCTGACCTCATAGCTGTTTGGTTCTTGTGTCCGTCAATTCATAGATTTTAATGGGCCACTGTCACGTGTTTATTTTTTAAGGTACTGATAGCATCTCTTTCGTGAACGACTGAACTTCATTGTCACACACAAAGCCCAGTTCCTATGATCAGTAAAAATCAATAATAAGTTGACTCCAGTCACTTTCGCTGGAGACAATTATTGGAATGCATGCATAGATGATAGGCTTCGAGTTAGAGTTCTTGGAGGCCAGATATAATATATGAATGCGTAAAATTCCATTGGAAGTGGAAAGGGAAGAAAATCATGCATGCATTAGGATTGGTTTTATTCTCAAATCAGCACGATTTAGTTTTTTAATCACAACGGCCTCAATTCAAACTTCCATCTCTGATAGTATACCTTTTCCATCAGTTCTGTTAAACCCCAAATGATGGCTGAAAACAAGCTTGCTCTTCGGCAAGTCATTTGTAGTTCGCTGGGATCGTCCGAGTAAAAGTTTCCTCATATTATTCTAAATAACCTTTCGTTTATTGATTCCTGTACGTCGTCAAATCTGTACGCAATCTGGCGTTCAGTCATCCCGGGGCACTGCTCTCATCTTTCTTGTCTACTAAACGTACCACCGCGAACACTAAAATTGCGTTGCATGTGCTTGTTGTTTCGTTGGAAGCGGTAGATAAATGTTGCCTTCGGACCTTCTCCGTGATTTTCTCCGTATTCCAGGCGAATCTTTAGTTGTTTTACAATTTATTTCATTCAGAAATATCCTGATGATTTTTCATCAGTAATTGTATTTTTCGAGAATCAGGTTCCTACGCATCTCTGAGACCTTCGGGAGAAGCATTTTTAGCAGGGTTCTAAATCAGATAGTCGTTGCCCGTAGTGCCTTTTCGAGCCTCGAAGGATTGAACAACAAAATTCACAATTTAATTGTGCGGACATTGTGAACCGCACTCACAAACCATTCAGCAAATGAGCTGTTCCCAATGGTTGTTCACAATTACTCGGCAGGCTGATCTATCAGTCTACCGCTTGCACAAAGTTATCAGCATACAAATCAATGTGCTAGAAGCATTTCATTTGATCAAGGCATGATAAGCAACATAGAACAAATTAATCAAAGTCGATGTTTAAATTCATTTATGAATCAACATAGTGATGAGACAAATTTCATAATCCCAGGTTTACACACCTTGAAGAGAGATCACAGAAAATCACAGATGGGCCTAAATGTATTATGCGGTCCCACACACACACACGCACACACACACACACGCACACACACATCAGTTCTCCCAGTTTGTTGTCGAGTACCCCTTTCATTAGGTTAAACTCAGCGCCCAAAATAACCAGACACAGCCTTACTTTCTTCACCAAATTTATCAGAAAGAAAGGTAAGGCTGCCAGTATGTTTTTTAAACCGGATAACTTCAACACTTTTGAAAGGAAATTTTCAACAGTCATGGCATCATTCTGCCTACCCTCACATAGGATTGAACTACCAGCGAATGCTTTTTTCACACTGCGGCTTCTGTCCACTGTGGGCTTACTAAACGTTGCTGCTTTTATTTCTTTATTTTTCGCTTATATAGCTGCACGCTCTGTGTTTGACTCTTCTGTTCGTAATCAAAAAGTGAAAGACGTGAAAGTTTTCTCACCATGCTTTCAACCCGTCATCGCAGACTACTCTGTGAGTTTGTATGTCGGCAATAGAATCACACTAACATAAAGGAATAAAAGAAATTACTTGAGAACTGGGGCGAATGCGAAGAATTCTTAATTACCGTTCTCCATTACTCAGTCTGAAAGATCAGGTGGACAGATAGTGGGGGCCATGACGTCATAGCGTAAACTTTTATCATAACCCGACTTGGTTTGATCAAGCTACCGGGTGATTCAGCAAGATCGAAATCCACTGCTGAGTAGAAATTTCAGCTGCTGTTCAGCTGCACGGAGGTGAGCCAAATGGCAGCGTTTGGCCCGCCCGCGCACCCTCCTGAATAGTTAGTTTGTGGTGGGGAAAGCCGGTCGCTTTGTGTTAATCTTTTGTTGCTCGTGAAAAGCAGGTCACAATTGACAAACACTGCAGGATGAACTAAAGGGACGATGACAAAACACATTTGGTCTGGCTGAACGCTTCTGGTCTGAGATTTTCCGGAAACATGAGAATAATTCAAACCTCTTATTCCAGAGAAAGCGAAAAGCATATCAGTTTAACTGTGAACATTATTGACACGAAATCAAGTAAGTGTTATCATGGCGAGCAGAAGTGGTTTCCTTCAACAAAACTAGTCTAACTAACAACATTCATTAAGTGCAGTAGTAAATCCTCTGGTGGCGTGACGTCCTTTAAGTACAGTTTCTTTAGGTTATATGTCCCAAAACATTTGCCATAATGAGCTTTTCAATGGAATTCGATGGAGAACAAAGTCTATCGCCATGTAGTCTAAGCAGAGCAAACAAATCTGTGGTTCAACTTCAATTTTAAAACGATCTTTAGCAAATAAATACAATGGAAAAATCGAACATTTTAACCTTAAACATCATTTACTTTCCTGAATAATATTGTGGCTCTTTTTTCCCTCTGATTTTGACTAGGAAGCTGAACTTGGAAACCTATCGTCCCAACGTTCTATGAGAACATAGTCCAATGGACGGTATAAGTCCTTTTTCAATAGTTCATTAACTAGGGCTATTTGTAATATTCGATCTGGTTTTGATCGTATCAAACAACATACAAAGAGTATGCCATGAGTTAATATGATCTCCATTTCAACTGTCCTCGATGCCTCGTCCAGGTTACATGACTTGGTTACTTCATCCGTTTTTATCATTACACAAGTTTTGTGTGATTAACAGCTAATGAGGTAAACGCCATAGTCACAAAAATATGCTGTTCAATCTAAGTAACCGGCACACTGAGTCACAGGACTTGGAGTGGTGAACCCAGTGAATCCCTGCTGGGCTAATCGCGGTATCAAGCTCGATGATAACAAAGAGGCCTACCACCGGGTTCATGTCAGCAGTGAGGCCCAAATGACCTGCATCAGACGGGGAAGCCCCTGTTACGGCAGTGATCAACTCTGTCCCTCATGATATGATAAATCCGAATCGTTTTGATTGTGGTGAAGGAGTGTGATAAATGATGTTGAAGGCTTGATCAAAGTTATGCTGGTACCGTGTCTGCAGTATACACTGGTGTAGCGCCTTTCGCTGCCCTTGTTTAATCATGTTTCAAATGCTGGTGTGACTTTTACTGTCTCGCACTTCAGCAGATGGTGCTTGCACCTCAGAAGCAAGAACAATGGCCAAGACACAGGAATGTGTCTTGGGCGGGCGGATCTCATTGTTGGGTCGGAACCACATACAGGGCGATTGCTCCATCTCCCCCTCTCACCCGTGACCTTGAGCAAGTAAATTCCTTCTGAACTTCCCTATGATCTAATTGGATCACTTCCCAAGATTTACGGCACTTGGAATCCATCAATCCTACACGAAACTGTCTGATTACCTGTTTTTACCTTTTGTGGTGCTCTGGTTGTCACTTGCAGTCCATTCGTGTGATGGCACTCTTGCTGTACTGTCGAAGTTCACTCAGTCTGCTAAAGACTCACGGATGTAGACAAGGTGTGGTTTCTCGCGCGGGTCATCTGAGTAAGAGCCAGGTCCCTTGTTGTGGCTGGACCATTCGACCGATCGATAAATGAACCCGATTGGTCGTGTGATTTTCGGTCCGGCATAGGAAGAGGATAAGTTCTGAACCCGATGCTGCTTAAGTTTAGTATAGAATCACCAGAATCAGTTGTGGAACGATGCGCCATGTAGGAAATTCGGAATGGAAAACGTTCAAGCGATTATGACACTGGGTCAATGCTTGTCCCGTATAAGATAGACGCACTATTTTTCGAAGCGGGTTCGATAAACGGATATCCATAATAAAACTTCGAACTTATCTTAATTACTGAGTAATTACAGAGTTCAATATCCACTAATATAGGCTCACGCAAAACTCTTTTTGGTATTTCCCCAACTGGCTTTTTTGAAGTTAAACGATCTTCCTAACTACGTTTGAGATAGAATTCCGGAGGAGGGGACAAATTTTATGGAAAAACGTATATTTGTTTTTTAAAAGTTGTTCAATAAGTTTTCCATCCTGCTGTTTGCATAGCAAAATACGGCGAAGATAGTTTTCTTCTAATTTAAGAATGGTAGCAGTTGGAATACCCTCGTACTGTGCGACAATACTCTATTTCGGTTCTTCGATGGTTCTAGGGTTTCCAGAATAAACGGTTCGTTTTAGATATCCCCACAAAAAAAATCCAAGGGAAACAGATAGGGTGATTTTGGAGGCCATTCCTTTGGTCCTCCTCGGATAACCCTCTGCAGGTAAATTCTGAATCAACGCAACTTCTGAACACCTGAGCATTTTGTAACGGTGCACACTCATGTTGAAAAAAAAACTGTTGTACCAGCTTCAGTTTCTATACGCTAGATGGCAGGTACCATATTATCCATTACTATCTGCGAGTAAGTAGATGAATAAATACTCAGTGAAATTCATGGACAGTACTGAATTAGGCGTCATGTTTCATTGGGTAATCCTTTCGGTATTGCTGTTATCTTTGAATAGAGCTAACAAATGGAGTAGTCGTCTATCTAGCCATTACAGCTTAGTAGATTTTCTTTATAATAATTTTTGGAAAAGCATAATTTCCTAAACAGCAACCCTTTGCAAAATATCTTTCCAATAGAA